GTATGGTAATCTGCCTTCGCAATCTTCCATCGACACACTCGATAGCTTTGAATGTATTGATGGATCAGCTGTCATTTTGTTCATATATACTTTCAATAGTTAATTCCAGCTGAAAATGCAAGAGAATTTATTTTTCATAGCAATCACTGGAATAAGGCATTAGTAAATAAGCATTTCGAATACCATTTATACTTAACCATTGATACTATTCAGAAAGATCAAACAAAAAGTTAAAGAGGAGTGGGAGAACAAGCCAAAAACTAAAATATCAGATTAGGAGACACAGTACCATTTCGATTAAACTATGTTGGAAACTTCTCATGGTGCCTTTTCTCCAAAAAAAAATCACAAATGGAAATAACTGACAACAATGGAATTTATGTTGACAATAGGTCGGCTGATTTAGAGATCTCGAATTCACGTTTTTCTTTATCTCACAGTAACTTCAAGTAAATGATAAAATAGTAAATGTATTGCATTAATCAGTGAAATCATTGCTGAATCTTCTATCCTACCATATTTAGGTAATATGAAAAATATTTCAATTTATCAAAAACTATAAAAATTTTCAATAAATGGCAAAACAAGAAAAAAAAGATAATTTTTCTTGTAAAGAATTAGCATTAATATTATAATTTTAATGGGATGAAAGAAAATTGCTCCATTTTAGTTCCAATCATCAAACCAACGATAGATCATTTTAATGTTTGATTTTCTCTTGCAATGATTGCTATTCAAACTATAAATATGTCCTCATTAAGAAAAATAGTGCAATTAATTACTATCCCATATATTTCTGGTCATTTAGGAAGTCAAGACTCTTGCATTTTTTTAACTTAACAAAAGAAAGCATAGAAAATAAATGAAAACATTTATATGTGAAAAATTCATTTTGTAAATTCGACCTTTCATCTAGCATGTTTACCTAAAAAGCAATCACTTAAATTTGCAAAAAATAGAAACTATATTCTATTTCTATATTAAAAGCTAACTTTTAAATGATCATTGAGAGAAATATGGAAAAAATGACATGAAGCAAACGGTGGTGACTAACATTTAATGATTCACAATTAATTATTGCTATTATGAATCAGTTTACCAATCCCAAAACATTTCAACAAGCATTCTTGACAATTTGAGAGATCTGTTCAATTGAGATTCCCTGCAGAATATTTGTTCTTTCCTTTTTTTTTTCTGCTCCTTCAATTCATTTCAATTTCTCAAAAAAGTATTCCTTTACACTTATCATTCATTCATAGCAGGAGTAATAGATGGTTGGCTATTTTTTTTATACTTGTTTGCTCGTTCTTTCCTCTGAGACTCAATTTATGAGGAAATACGATTAAAAAATATGATTAAGGAAATTGGATCTTTTGCCTGAAAAAGTAATATTGCATGTTGCATAGGAAAGAAAAGATAAGCAATGAAGAGAATAAATAAAATACAAAGTTCAGCCGTTTTCTTGCCCATCTAAACATATTGAACTAAATTTTTCGAGTGCTAAATGTGCCACCGGCGCAAAAGTAGGTTAACTGCAATATTTCGAATTTAGAAAGTTAGTTAGAAAATCCACCGAGAAAAGATCTAGCAATAAATGTAAGTGCTAAAATATGAACCATTGTCGCCCCTTCTATCATTCTTTATCATCTACTGATCATTTTGTTCTGTACTGGCTGGTAGCAGAAAGGGTTCAACAGCGATAATCAAAATATCAAACAATAAATTCAACGGCATGAAAAGTAGCCGACACACAATGGGAATCAGATAAATCTTCCTTCATCAATAACGACAAAGCAAACAAACGATGTACTTACGTTTTCTCTCTTTCTCTCTCTCGCCCTCCGCCTATGGCTTTTCAACAACCTTGCAAACATAGTGAAGTTACAATCGATAATTTCATATCACGTGATTCCCGATTAATACTAATGCACCTTACCACCCGGAATTCACATGACCATCATAGAAATGATGGATGAGAGAGAGGGATAAGGAAGCGCAAAAGGTAAACGACGACTGCGCCAACTTTTCTTTCCTCGTTGCTGAATTGTTCCATCCAAAACTGAATGGATTGATAAGAATAATGAAATTATACAAATTATAAAAAAAAACTCAGATGTTAATATTGTACAGAATTGAAGTCATACAAGAGAGATGACAACGACGACAGTAAACATTACGTCAAATAAATACAACCGAAAAAAGTACTCATTTGTTTACGATCGATTTCTTCCTTTCTCTCTCTTTCCTTCCTTTTGCCTTCTTCTCTCTATCTCGCCCTTCGTATATATGTATATATACAAAAGGATATGAATTTAGGATGGAAAGGAGAAAAAAGAAAAGGCTAAGTATTGAAGGACTGATGACATACAAACTGCACACTCAAATTATGCGATAAATTAATTAATCAGTTTATCGTGCGGCAAATTATGTCCTAATTAAATAATGGACATAAATGAAGTTTTATGAATTAAGAAAAGTTTCTGTTAGCTCTTTCTGGACCAACTTCACTATACTGATAGTTGGCTTAATTGATGCATCCAAATAATTGTCGAGAAAATTTTCTCATCGATAACATTAATAATATAACTTTCACTTACTAAAAATAACTTTGTGAAAGCAAAACAGTGAGAGAAGACAAGAAAGAAAAAAACAGTAATCATAGCTGTAGGTAACATTAGAACGGTGGTTGGTCTGATTTAAATGTCTTGCAAATCAATTTTTCAAACAAGAAAGTAAAAAATGAAGAACTTTTAAATTCGATAAGCTATTTTGAATTAATATTAAAAAATATAATACTATAATAATGTTATTTCAAATCCAAGATTAATATTTGATGAAAGTGGTCGTGAGTGTCCTTATATAAGGGAATTTGATAAACTTATCATTTAGTCTGGTTTGATGACCGACTATATTACGTCTTCCATTCAACAAGAACTTTTCTCTTAATTATTGCCGCATAACACGTAACAATATAGGTGATATTTTAGATGAATGTTGCAATAAAACAATTTAGAATTACGAGGTTGACATTTGACATGGTAATTTTGGTAGAAACTGCCATAACAAACAAACAAAAGGCTGCTTCATACTATAAAGCAGCGATATTTTGTGAGACGAGGATAATATACGGTTGTGTGGAGGTGAAAGTGCACGTATCAGAGGATAACAGAAGGATGAAGGCTACAGATCGAGTTGATGTATAAAAGGAAGAGCAAAAAGGACTGATGCCACATAGTGCTATATCGAAATTTTGAAACGTTTCACGAGAAATTCACGAGATGTTCTTTTCTTTCTTTCTCTCTTTCGTTCTACTCGTATGATAATTTCGACATTCTCGATCAATATTGAAGCAATAGAAAGAAATAGCATCAATCACGCTGTCTTGCAACAAAGATTTAAACGGCATGCTTAAATAAAATTGGTCTTTAATTGAATTGACGACATCAGAAAATAAAGCAAAGGTATAACAAATAACTGAATAAGAAGCGTCAATTTTTTGAGAGGAAATTTTTGAATCAAATACCTTTTTTTGTCAAAAAGGAATATTTTCCCAAAAACATTTGAAATGCAAAATTCTCATTCAAATTTCCTCGAGAAAAATTGATGCGCTATTCGATTTCTGATCCCATTATATGTTTGAAATTTAGTATTTTACCTTTCCAAATTCTTTTTCACTATTCCGGAAAGTTAATACATTTATTAGTGCAACAATTGATTCTAAAATCGACACCCACGGAAACAATTTCTGAAAGCTAAAGATTATTTCAAACTGAATCAGACTGATCTAAAATCGAGAAAAGCGATGTAGTGAAGCTTAAAGTATCGTCGTCTGGAACATTCAAACTCTATACATTCATTTATGCGTGTAAACCTCGTTGCTAAGGACAACAACGCCTGCACATAAACATCGAAGCAGCAATGAACGAAAAATGTATTTTAAATGATTGTAGAGTTAATCCACATTTCTAAGGATGACAACAAACTAACATGTCATAAATGAAATCTTAGAGAATTATACAAACTCAGAAATGCCAGCTGAAGTTACTTGAAAGCTTCCTTACAATGCGATTAATCGAGAATTTCCGACAATGGATGTGAAGAAATATTTGTTTACTATTGAAAACAAATGTATGTTAACAGTTGTATGATATTATTAAAATGTAAAAAAGTGTCGGACTTTGGTGTTCAAAGCAATTTGAAACTTTTATTCAGAAAGACTGTTTTGAATAATTGAGCTGCGGTAATTAAGTGCTACCACTAGTTGAGTTGCACTGATTAGAAATTAAACGAGAAATAGAAAAGCAGTACTTAAACATCAATAAAATCTGCTCTTATCTCAGGAAAATTTCAAGAATCCAACTTTGGAAATCATTATTCAAACATAAAGGATTTAATTAGTCGTAATTCATTATCAAACTAACGCATTGCTATTACATTCGAAGTGAAAGTTGAATCATATCTGACGCATTGATTAGTGAAATCCATCTCAATACGTTCACGTTGAACCGACGTGATCGTATCGATATCATAACATAGTAATAATGCTCGAGCTCATTTTGTTGCTCTTACGCTCAGATTAGTAGAACGAACTCTAATAAAAATAACAAATAAGAATAAAAGTTGATTAAAAATTAAATAACAATCCTTTAGTTCTCTCTACACTAACTCTCTTCTATCCTTCACTTTTCATTCTTTCCGATTATTCTTAAATCTTTAATAATGTAATAATGTACCGTTAAATAATACCTCAATAAATCTCATCAATTTCACAGTTATCGAAATTCGATCTAATTCCATATAACGAAACACTAATTTGCTAATCTGTTCAGTTTTACTGACCCCAATTCGACTCAGCATTCCGGCAAATAGTCCCA